CCTTCTGGTCCTGGTGTTTACAGTTAAAACTGGGCCTTCAGGACAGAGAAATGGGTCCATGTTACATGTCTAGGACACAAGAGCAGCTGTGTTTCCTGCTCTGACCCTCCAGACAAACTCTCTAAAAGTAGTGTTAATGCCAGGACTGCTTGTTCAGAGGTGCCACCTGAGCTCATGTTGGTCTGAGGTAGCTGGGTAACCACTAGTTCATGGTTAGAATACTCTGATCCATAATGAGTTCCTGTAAATCATGCCTTACAAAGTAAAACTCAGCCCTCCTTGAGAGGAATCTTTTCTCACTGTGAAAAGTCATTGTAAAATAAAGTGTAATTAATAAAAGTTAAATAAAAAATTAAAAAAAACTTTTACAGGCATACCAAAAGCAAAGTTCTCTTGAACAATTCATACAATAAGCAAATGTTTTAATTATTTAAATTCTGGGATTTTTTTAATAAAATAAGTCATATCTGAAAGCAAAAAAAATTGTCAACATATTATTTTTATTGATTATGTGGGAATTTCATACAATCTACATTACACTCCTTTTCCATTGTTCCCAGGTTCACATTCCTACCCATGTGTCACACTCAAAGTAAATTTTAAAAAAATACATAAATTCAAATATGTGTTGTTCATCCATTCATTGAAACATGGTCAAAGTCTCAGTGCCAAGGCCCTTAAAGAGAACTGAGTTCATTCTTGCCCCACCCTGGCCCGACTGAAGCAGAAGCCATCAATCCTGAAGGGCTTTATACTTTATCACCTTGATAACAATTTTTTATTTATTCATTGATTGATTACAATTTACTCACTTTGTATCCCCTCTTCAGCCCCCTCTTATCCTCCCAGTCCCAACCACCCTCCTTCTTCTACCCCTATGCCCTTTCTCTAGTTCCCGATAGGGAAGGACTCCTCCCCTTCTATCTAACCCTAGCTCATCAGGTCTTATCAAAGCTGGCTGCATCATCTTCCTCTGTGGCCTGATTCAGAAGGTTGTGTTCTCATTGTGTCCTCCATCCCCTCAACATCTGACATTCTTCCTGCCTCCTCTTCTGCAGGGTTCCCAGTGCTCTGCGGGGAGGGAGAATTTCATAGGGAAACCCCATTTGGAGCTGTGTGTTTTATATCTTTCTGCATAATAGCTGACTGTGGGTCTCTGTATATAATCCCACTTGCCGAAGAAGGAAGGATCTCTGTGGATGGAAGAATATGGCACTGATCTCTCAGTTGGCAGAGAGCAATATATTTTAATAACAAAAGCCTGGTTTCTTTGGAAATCTCCACTGGATACCCTGGAACAACAACTCAATTAACTGCAACCCAGTCACACTATTGGAAGACTGGTTTGGTCACAATAGATGGCTTATTGGGACTTTATCACCCATTATTAGGAGACCTTCTTAGGATCTCCTTCTTAGGATGTTTCCAACTCAGTAGGTTTCTATATCATCTCTCAGATGGCCCTCTATTCAAGCCGTATCTTTCAGGATTCACTTCCTCTACCCTAACTCCTTGCCACTCCTCACCTCATCCACCCATTCACTTCCCCTACAGGTCCCAATTCCATCTGTAAAATTTATTTTATTTCTCCATCTCAGGGAGATTCAAGAGTCCCCTACTAGTTTATTCCTCTATAGCTAACCTCTCTTGGTGTATGGAATGTACCATTGTGATTATTTATTTAATGAGTAATATCCCCAGATAAGTGAATACACATCATATTTATCTTTCTCTATTTTAGTTACTTCAACCAGGAGTTTTTACCTGAAAACCATCTATTTATCCATTTTATCCATTTGTCTGAAAATATTACGATATCATTTTTTTAACTGAATAATACTCCATTATGTAAATATTCTACATTTTCCCCAAAGGAGATTGTCAGTACTGTCCTTTGGTCTTGAAATTTGCATGGAATTACAAACTATCAGGATGACTATCTTCATTCAGCATAGAAGTCTCCCTCCATCTTCTATCACTTTCTGGTGATTTGAATTGGAATGTCCCTATGAAGCTCATATATTTAAATGTTTATTCTCCAATAAAGAAGTGTCTGGGAATGGTTAGTAGGTATGAACTTGTAAGATAATAAAATTATGATAGTGAAACCCAAAGGAATCATGACTCACGGGTTGAGAACCACTTTTGTAGATGGTACAAACTCAAAAAACTATAATATCTCTGCAGTCTACTAGAATGAGCCAAAATTACAGTTAGGACATGGGAACAAAAATAACTTTATGGTTGGGGTCACTACAACATGGGGAACTATATTAAAGGGTCACAGCATTAAGAAAGTTGAGAACCACTGCTCTAGAAAAAGTCTATTGTTTATGCATCTTTTAGATCTGACATGACTTTTTTTGAGGAAGATATAGGATGCAAGAGACTGGTGGGTACCGATTCTAAGTCATTGTGTTTTAGGAGGCCTCATTTGTCTAGTTTTATTCTAGGAACACTTTTGCCACCATGTGAACAAGCTTGGGTCACCCTGTTGGAGGAAGTGAGGCACAGGTTTTTTACTTGAGACATTTCAGTAAACACAGACAGCAACATCCCAGGCTAGAAGTATGATCCCACTGAGCTGAGCTCAGATTTCTCACTCACAAAATTATAAACAAAATGATATGGTGATTCTTTGATGTCATGGAATCCTGGAACAGTTTTCTACATAGCAACAGATACATGATACTTCAGAGCTCATTCACTGAATTGGTGGTCTACCAGTGGGAGCTATAATTGATTATCTGCTCGCTTTTTTCCCCCCTAACAACTGCATAATATGTGTACCTCAATGCAGAGGACTGGATTATTGGATGTTATTCTCACTCTACCAGGGACTCACATCACAGTCTAGGTAACTTGTAATTCTTCTTATATAATGCAGAATGACTCTTCTTGTGCCTTGGCTTTGGGCATGGCAATATGGTTACTTTTATGAGAGCAGATGTGATAACTTGCCAGCTCTGAATCCAGCATTTAGGAACCTGGCATATTTCTCTTGTTGTCTTTTCTTTCTGACACCATTGAAATATTCCTCCGAGTCACTGCTGCCACTTCAAATTGGCACCAGAATGAATGGTAGAATTGTTTTGTGTAATTGAGATTTAGGGGTTGTTTGTTATACAGCTAACTGACACATACCACTTTACTTTTACTTAACAAACATGCCTGATCCTTTTTAGAAAAAAGTGGGAAGCTTATGGACTATTTTAGGCTTGGATTCTAAGATTCTGGGCTCAAGGATCCTTTTTTACAAAGTAGTGATTGAATGATAATTAGAAAATGACTTCTAAAGCCAAGGCGTGGTCAATCAAAGAAAAGGATGCAATCAAAACATTAGAGAGAATACGATGCACAGAAAGACAAATGTCCAGCAAAAAAACCCTCAAAATAAAAGCTTGAAGTCACTGAAATAAAGGCATTTCTTGAATAAAAGCCAGAGGAGGTGAGATCTGAAAAGATTTCTGTTTTTTTTTTGCTGTGACACCTGCAAGAGAAGGAATTGCCAGCCTAGTTCACCAAAAGAGGCATCAGTGGGGAATAAATCTTGATCTTCAACCCATATCTTCTTTCTGGGTCACTGGGATGTAGGGTGTGTCCAGAGCTCAAGTGCTTATGCTTGTCAGTACATAGCTCCGTCCTCTGTGGATATAGAGGGGTGCAGGTGTATCCCCATTACCGAGAATGCATTATTGCTCCTCAGTACACACTTGAATCATAGCTAGGCAGGTGTGTGAGGTGTGTGTGTGATTCACTTGTACTGTGGGACATTCTGTAATACTGATATGGTCTACACTGTGCTGTTCAGTACTGTAGCCACAGATTGTATTTGGTGATGAGCACCTGAAGTGTAACTTGAATGCCCAAAGATCTCAGTTTTAAATTCCATTTGGTTTTCATTCATTTAAATGTAGATGGCCATGTGCAGCTAGTATCTACCACTTTGGACAACATAATTCTTCAGGTCATTATGAACTCTAATAAATGCAATAAATGTAATCCTGAGCTATTGGAAGGTTGTTTTAGAGGTTCTCACTTCAGAACAAACACGCTGGGTATTGACAATTGGTGCATCAAGTTCCCAAATGTCGAGGGCCACTGTGGAAAATACTTTATGGTGTGAAATAAGATAACATCAAAATAAATAGATGACAGCAAACAAAAACAAAACAAAACAAAACAAAAAGATAAAAAAATTCCTCTTAGATTTGTATTATAGGAGGTTGTGCTTTGAGGTTTAATATGCCAGTGGAAGTGACCAGACAGAATGGGGTCTCTGTACCTCTGTCTTTTTCTGTTTCTACCTTTGTTTGTCTCTGTCTTTGTCTCTGTCTCTCTCTGCCTGCCTCTTGTGGTTCAGTTTGAAAAGCTCAGCTCTGCTAAAGACTGACAACAAGATGACTGCTTTCTGACAAGACATCAGGGATGAGCTGTGTAAAACTATAGCAAGGAATGATTAAACGCTTTTTGTTCAGTGTTGCCTTGGTCATGGGGCATTTTCACAGTAAGTACTTGACTAAGGATATATCTGTGCTTTTAAGAAATCCTAATGAACTCTCTGATAATGTGAAAGTCACTTTTCAGTGACACAGGACTTTATTAATGACCACCTGAAAGAAATATGTGACACTTTTCCTGAGCTAAGAGTCTTGGAAACAGGAACTGTCATCTCTGGGTCGTGTGCTTTCAGCTGCCCAGATTGAGGCATGTAGGGCTGCTCAGCCTTTCTCTCAAGCAGGGTGTCCACTTGGCCCTTTTAATACATGGCTCATGAAACTGTTACTGGCTTTTACCTATTTCATGACATCATTCTCCCTCTCAGCCAATCAGCACCTGATAGAATCTCGAGGTTTCCATGGAGACGAGTAAACAAACTCCTCAGTGTCCAGTATCTCTGATCCTGTGCACACTCGATTTTTTCTTGTGAAACGCAACAAACCTTTATCTCATCCCTTTATCCAGACCCTATCCCTTTACTCCTATTTACCTCCGTGACAATGTCAGGTAGGAAATGAAACTTTAATGTTTATTTAATTGGCCATCTTCCCAAGTTGGGAAGCTTCAAAATGATGTGGGAATAAGGGGAATGTACAGAATGACAAGATAGTCCTACTGTGGTCTTGGATCTGAAATTCCCTAGGGTTGTGACTTTTGACTGAACAGTTACTCATGTACTCACTAAATCTACCTTCACATTCTCTTTGATAAAATAGGTTGTCAGGGTCTAGTGTTCCCTGGGGTATTGAATCTTTAAGAACAGAGAAAAGAGAAGGAAACCAGAGAATTCCTGACATTGTTTTGGCTGAAACAGATGGGAGAGGGGAGAGGTGTATGTAACAGGAGAGCTGAGGGGCAAGATACTATTGGATACCTGGTGCTGTTCTACACCAGTGTTGCCAACCCGCTATGAGGAGGGCTGCCTTGCTGACCTGGCTGGATAGGCAGCTGTGTCCCACTCAGTGGTCAGTGAGCAACGGTCCTGGTCCTGGTGTTTACAGTTAAACCTGGGCCTTCAGGACAGTGAAATGGGTCTGTGTTCCAGGTCTAGGACACAAGAGCAGCTGTGTTTCCTGCTCCGACAAACCCTCTAAAAGTAGTGTTAGTGCCAGGACTGCTTGTTGGGAGGTGCCACATGAGCTCGTGGGGGTCTGAGGTAGCTGGGTAACCACTAGTTCATGGCTAGAATTCTCTGTTCCATAATGAGTTCCTAGAAAGCATGCCTTACAAAGTAAAACTTGCCTCACCCTGGCTCCATCCCCAAGCAGAAGCCATCAATCCTGAAGAGTTCTATACTTCATTACCTTGATCACATTTTTTTTTCTTATTGATATTTTTGGGTGATTGATTACAATTTATTCACTTTGTATCTCCTCTGCAGCCCCCTCCCTCTTCTCCTCCCAGTCTCACCCACCCTCTCTCTTCTAACCCTATGCCCTTTCCCTATTACCCTATAGGGAAAGACTGTTTCACTTCTATCTGACTCTAGCTGATCAGGTCTTATCAAGGTTGGCTGCATCATCTCCCTCTGTGTCCTCGAATGCTTGCACCTCACAGAGGAGGTGATCAAAGAGCTAGCCACTGAGATCATGTCATAGGCATCTCCTATAGCCCTTAGTAGGGAACCTACCTGGAAACTGAACAGCACATGGACTTCGTTTGAACAAGTATTCTAGATCCACTCCATGCATCATCTTTTGTTGGAATACTGTTCTCTGCATACCCCACCCCACCCCTGGGCTCAGGTTTTTTGGCTCTGTTGTTCTCCTTGTGGAGTTCCTGTCCATTCCACTTCTTTCAATTACCCTCTTCTTCCATAAGGATTCCAGCATGCTGCCCCAAGTTTGGGTATGAGTCTCAGCATCTGCTTCAATACTCTGGTGGGTAGAGATTTTCAGAGGTCCACTATGGAAGGCTTCTGTTCTTTTCCTTGTCTTCTCCTATTTCTGATGTCCATTCTATTTGTCCTTTTGAATGTGGATTAAGCATCTTCCCTAGGGTCCTCTTTGTTGTTCAGATTTTTTAAAAATTCTTTATTAATTACACTTTATTCATTTTGTATCCCCCTGTGGTTCCCTCCTTCCTCCCATTCCAATCCCTCCCTTCCTCCACCCTCTGCATTCATGCCCCTCTCCAAGTCCACTGATAGGGGAGGTTTTCTTTTCTTTCCTTCTGATCCTAGTCGATGAGGTCTCATCAGGAGTGGCTGTGTTGTCTTCTTCTGTGGCCTGATAATGCTGCTTCCCCCTCAGGGAGAGGTAATTAAAGAGCAGGACAATCAGTTCATGTCAGGGGTAGTCCCTGTTCCTATTACAATGGAACCCACATTTGTGCAAGGGTCTTAGGTTATCTCCATGCATAGTCCTTGGTTGGAGTATCAGTCTTAGGAAAGGCCCCTGTGCTTAGATTTTTTAGTTTTGTTGCTCTCCTTGTGGATTTTTTAAGACTATAGATTTTAATATGCTTATCCTATACAATATGGCAAATTTCCACTAAATGGTAATGTGGTAGGAATGTAACCTTGTACAACCACTTTGGAAATCAATCTTGCCCTTTCTCAGAAAATTAGAAATACTGCTACCTCAAGATCCAGTTATATCACTATCCATAACATGTGCCATCATTCAATAAGGACATTTGCTCAACTATGTTCATTGAAGCTTTATTTGTAATGGCCAGAATCTGGAAAAAACCTAGATGTCCTTCAGTGGAGGAATGGATACAGAAAGTGTGGCACATTTACACAATGGAATAACTCAGCAATTAAAAAGAAGGAAAACATGAAATTTGCAGGCAAATGGTGGGAACTAGAAAAGATCATCTTGAATGAGGAAACTCAGAAAGACACATATTGTATATACTCACTTGATCACAATTTTTAAGAACTCTCTTCAATGGCATTTGGCCTAAATTGTATTTTTCTTTTGGTGTAGAGGCTAAGAAAACATGCACTGCCATATGGTTTCTGGATGAGGCAAGCACCATAGGCACCACCATGGCCTCCAGCTATAACACTGAGAGTGGAGGTCTTTTGAGGAGGCCCTTTCCAGAAAATGAACCCTTATCAATCTTCCACCAGTGCCATCTCCTGTGGCTCTAGATTCACTTTTCTTTTCCCCATGCATGGGACTCTGCTCAGCCATCTTTATTTTCTCCATTTTCATGTGACCACTTTTTCAAAACATAATCTCCAAAAACATGTCATTTTTAGTTGTTCTGAAGATAGTGTGTTTTCTGTAAACTTGTGATCTGCTGCAGTGCATCTCCTCTGAGCCTTCATGGGTCTCTTAGGCTTCTTATAGCTGCTCCAAAGTCCTTAGGATGCATGCAGCTGCTGCTATCTTAAATCCGACTTCATTATTTTGAAAAGTAATGACTTTATCCTGTTTTTTTTTCAATTAAAAATTGTTTTTAAGTGTTCACTCTTCAATGGAGGTTGTGACTACCATCCTGCCTCAGTCAATGAACTGCAGGATAAAAAACCTGTATTTTCATGGCTATAGTTGTCATTACTTCAACAAGTTAGATGTAGTTTAATGTATATTAACATTAACTCCCAGAGAAGCAAAGGTCTCTTTTCCTAAAATCTTTTTCATCTGTTGACAGGAGGGAACTTTGTGATACCTAGGCAATCAGACCACCAGAGTTGTCTAGATAATAAAGGACCTTTCACTACTGGAACAACAAATGTGGTAAGTCTCATTGCATTTTACCATAAAGCTAATTTAAATGAAATCATATTTGGAAACTTTAAAATCCTAGTGTCTTTCTCTGTTTTTAAACTAAAGAGCTAGAGTGATAATATATCACCTTTTCTTTACACTGTCAGTGGGATAGAGAAAGGAGGTCAATACTGTAAATACGTAGTCTTTAGAGTACTTTGCGATTCTACTCTGAAACACCTTGACTCCCCTGAACTCATTCAATATAGGATTGTGCAATGCTGTGGTCCAAGGTGTTGACAGTTCTCAAAGGTTTGTTTCTTTCTGCTGTTTCTCAGCCTTAGTTCCCAAAGTCCTTCAACAGCAGGAACTGAGTTTTCATTCCTCATTGTCACTCAGATGTTCTTAAAGATTTGAGCATCACAGATACTAATTAAATTACAGGGAACACCCAATCCCCAAACCTTGTGTTTCTAGCTGGGATTGACTTATGGAATACATGGATATGGGTTCTTCCAAGCTCAGATGCTCCCTCATTGCTTGGTAATATCAGGAGAAGTCTCTGTGGTGAGTGATGGTTTTATGTGTATGCACAATCCTCCAATGTGTGCACAACCACTCATAGCTATGTGTTGTAGGTATTTAATATTTACTATTTATATGTATTTTGGTTAAGCAGTGGTTATTTCTAAACATTCTATATACCCCAATCACCACACAGAGACTAAGATTTATCTAATTAATCTACAGCACAATGCTGGACAATGGTTACTCCATCCTAAATCTCCAAACCGGCATAGTTTCCTACCACTCAGATTTTACCCATTATACTTGCTTTTAGTCATATTTTAGGTCCGGTTCATCTCTCCATGTGGTTCTAAGTTCTTTCCTCCTCACCTCTGTCCCTACCCTCCTGCTTCCTTTCTCTGCCCTCTGGACCAGGATGTCTCACCTTATTTTCCCCATTGTACTACAATGGCTGGTTGTTTTATTGACAACACAGAGTACATGGTGGCATGGTTGCACAAACTTAAGAGAGGTGAACTTTACAATGTGGTGTCCCTACTGATTGATACCAGATAGTGGGGTAAAGAAATTAGTATTTGAATGAACAAGGGTAAATGGTATACATTCTAAAAGAACATTATAGCAACATCTATGTAAAGTAATGGTGCAAATCTCAATAAGCAGGCTGTTTGTAAGGACCCATTTTTGAGTTACATGCTACCTGAAAGCTCCTTTGCATTGTGTTTTCAAGGGGCACAGAGATCCCAGGTCCGGAATCTGTCATTTTACTACCATATTAAGGGGATCCCTTGCTATGTCTGTTTACTAAATTTATTGAGGTGAATTATAACAAATGATGATTTATTTGCTCAAATTTCTTTAGGGAGAGGTTTGTCACACAAGCTGGCACACATACATGTGGCACAAACACACACACAAGCACATACAAGCAAACATTGTGTACTAGCTAGCTGGCAAAGCAGGAGGATGGATGGCAGGAGACAGGTTTTGATGTTTCCTGTCTTCTCTTTTGTCTTAGACCATCCTCAGACACGATGATGTCAGTCTACCTCCCCAAGAGCGATTCCAGATCTTAAGCGCTCTAGGGCAGGACATCAAAATCAACAAAAAATTCTCCAAGGCTTCTTACATGAGCCTGAGAGACGACTTCTTCAAAATGGCAGCTGACCTGGAAGAATGTGGAAAAGAAGAAGCAGCCTTTATTCTCTATCATAAATTCCTCACGTGAGAACCTGCAGTTTCTATCTCTGTTTCTGGGACTGTTGTCTAAATTATGCTCCTCTCCTGTTCATGTTTGTCACATTTGCTGACAGTTACTGAATTTGACAATGTCAGGTTTTAATCATATTTCTGGCAGTTCATACACAATTATTTTTCCCTATTCAAAAACACAAAGATGAAAGGTTCTGTGGTCATAAATAAAGAACTTCATGAATAGGAGTTCTTTAAATTTTTTTTTTATTAATTACATTTTATTCACTTTGATTCCCAGCTGTAGCCCCCTCTCTGGTCCCTTCCCAATCTCACCCTCCCTCCATTCTTCTCCACCCATGACCCTCCACCAGTCCACTGATTGGGGTGGTCCTCCTCCCATTCCATTTGATCCAAGTCTATTAGGTCTCATCAAGAGTAGTTGCATTGGCTTCCTCTGTGGCCTGGGAAGGCTGCACCCCCCTCATGGGGAGGTCATCAAAGGCCAGCCACTGAGTTCATGTCAGAGACAGTCCCTGTTTCCATGACTAGGGAACCCACTTGGTCACTAAGCTGCCATGGGCTACATCTGGATAGGGTTTGTAGGTTATCTCCATGAATGGTCCTTGGCTGGAACATCACTCTCAGAAAAGATCCATATGCCCAGATTTTCTCTCTCTCTCCTTGAGGAGCTCCTGTCTCCTCTTGGTCTTTCAATCTCCCCCTTCTTTCATAATATTTCCTACACTCAGCCCTGAGTTTGGCTATGAGTCTCAGCCTCTTATTTGATACTGTGTAGGGTATAGTCTTTCAGAGTCCTTCTGTAGTAAGCTCCTTTCCTGTTCCTTGTTTTCTCCCCCTTCCAATGTCCATCCCATATGCCCTTCTGAATGAAGGTTTATTATCTTACCCAGAGTCCTCCTTCTTGATTATCTCCTTTAGGTGTATAAATTTTATGATAGTATGATTATCCTATATTATATGTCTAATATCCACTTTTAAGTGAGTATATACCATCTGCGTCTATCTACTTCTGGGAAGGATACAGAAATTGTGGTGCATTTAAACAGTGGAATACCACTCAGCAATTAAAAACAAGGAAATGATGAAATTTGCAGGCAAAATGTGGGATCTAGAAAAGATCACCCTGAGTAAGAGTTCTTGATCCTGTGCCCACATGGCCAGGTCTTTGAAAATAACAGTTGGCAGGGAAGCAGCTCCTATCTCAATTGGTGAGTGGATTGATCAGAAAATGGCTTCTGAAGCACAGGATTATCTCTGATATGCAGCCAAACTCAGATCCCTCCTCTCTTCATCCTGTAGCCTCTTGAGTTGTATAGGAAAGAGGGTTGTCTTTCCCATTGCTACAGTCACCAGAATACCGTAGAGCACCTGGAGTCAGTGGGGTTCAGCACAGTAAGGATATTTCCCAGGCTCTTCATCATTCTTACACAGGCAGATTAAATACAAAATTGTGAACTATCACCAGGGAATAAATCTTGTAGGCTCAGTGACAAGAGTGCTGTGTTTGATGAAGTAAATGATATTAACATCTCACCAGTCATGTCCAGCCCTGGATTTGGTGAAGCAGAACCTAAGGAGATGCACAGGACTCTGAGGAGCTCAGGTAATGGGGTGGGGTTTTCTGGCCATGATTTCCCTGATCTTCAGAAGACTGTGTGTGCTGAATAGAGACATCAACTTCTTGTTCTACAGAGGAGGAGAAAGCTCAGGTTTAGAAATGAGTTCAGCAGGACACTTTGCATTTCCCTGCGCTTACAACTGCTAGAACAAGGGTTCTTCTGTTTGTTTTCTACTGTTGGTATTCTGTAACATGATGGTATTCTCTTGAGCTCATGTTATGTCTCCCTCTCATTTTCTCACCCTTCCAAAGACAAATAATCAGTCTTACAAGGGGCTCGTGTGTCTTCTGAGATATCAGGTTTTCATATGGTGATGAAAAGCACATATGCACATAAAATGATTCTGATCATACCCTCCTCTCAAGTAGCGTTTCTGAAAGGGTCATGGATTGTTCTTGACTTTTGGGCTGATGTGAGGGTTGTAGCAGGTGAGCAGCATCCCTGGGTGCAGTATCCGTCCAGGTACCACAGCATATGCGCTCCTAACTCTGAGCACCCTCAGTGTCTCCTTTCATTGCCTAATGGTCTCTCAGGTGAGGTTGTGCCCTGCTGGGAAACAATTCACAAAGGTGCTCTATGAGCAGCAATCCATATTGGGATTGGGAATGGAAGAAAGAGACCATTGTCTTTATTTTCTGTTTTGAAGTTCAGGGTTATGCCCTGTTTCCTTAAGGATCTGGGAGTCTATTAACCCTAATTATATGCTGTCTCCTGAATGCTAGGATGACAAACATGCACCTTAACAGTTTAGCTATGCTTCTCAACAGCTGATGTTTGTTGAATGTGCCAGTTTAATATTACAGTACTGACACATATCTTTCCAGACACTGGGATGGAAACTGATGCTGGATTTAAGGGTGCGCTTCTATGAACTCTAGGATCTTCTGAAATCCTGCATGCAGAGGACAATTTCCTCTGGGCCTAATTTAAACATGTCAACATTTTCTGTACATCTCATTCACTCTCTTTAGATTATATTTGGAAAAACTGAACATTGGCCCAAAACTCCGAATAAAAGATGCCCATGGTAGAAGATCGAACTTCATCAAGGTGAGTCTTTGTTGCCTAAGCTGATTAACAAATATCACCAGAGCAGCCTGAAGCTACTCAAAGAAATTCCACAGATCCTGACACTTGGTGGAAAGGTGTCATATGCTGCCTCAGCCGAGCAGTAGAGAGGAGAGGGATGGCTGGGAATAGGGTTCAAGCTGTGCATGAGCTACTGCTGCTTTTCCCAACTTGTTTTATTCCCCTTTATTCTCACATTAGAACCATTCTAATTCTCCATTTTGATTTTGTATTTCAGATTCTAAACATCGTTTTTGACAGGGCTGAGACTCTAAAGAGGAAACTCCTAAACAAATATAATAGAGAATATGAAAAACATCTAATGGAGATGGTCAGTATGAGGAGCACAGAGACAGTGGAATTATATGGCAGCTATTCAGCCTCTTGGATTGTCTTGTTATGTTCCATTGGAGTCTGAGAGTCAATGAATAAGCTCCACAGTCACTTGCACAGAAATGCACTTGCATCCATACCAGCCAACACACATACACACACACACACACACACACACACACACACACACACACATACACACAAAGATGGGTGGAGTGTAGAGAAGACTGAGACTTAGCTATTACTAGAAACATCCGTATAGGAACTGAGTAGGGGGGTGCTGGCTGATTTCCACCACACCAGATTTATTCATCTGATTCTGAGATATCAGACATGAACAGACCTACATTTTGTTCATCTCTGTGATGACAAGACTTCTGAGATTTCAAGTATTTACCTAAATCCTTTTCCTGTAGAAGAATAAAGAAGAGGAAGCACCAGAGTGGGCAGTCTTCTGGGAGGACATAAATTCCGAATATTCCACTTCTTGCACTATTCCGTTTGATCCATTGTATGGACCTAAAGAAAACAAAAGTGGAGAAGTGGGACCTGGTATAACATCAAAAACAAAGGAAGCTCAACCTTCCTCAGTACCAACTGAAACCTCCAGCCCACCACAGCAGTGTTCAACAGAGGAGATCTTGAAGGTCATCTCCCCAAGCACATCAACATCTGCGGAGCAGCCTGGGAAAAATGACACAGACGAAAGCACAGGTAAGTAACCGCAGGTTTCTGACTTGGAGAAGACTTGTGTAGAATTGGTTCCCCATTTAAACACAGGAATGAGCTAATTGGAAGATGAAGTTATAGTATAGAAATGCAGATTTATTGTGAGAAGCTTTTGGATGCAATGTTAGGGAATAAGGGAGAGAGAAAGTGAAAAGCATGCTCAGAGAGAGAATGAAGAAAGAGTGAGGAGAAGAAGGGGAGGAATGATACAAAGAGAGTAGAGTGAGAGGAGAAAGAGAGATAAGGGAACCTAAATGTCCGGTTTATATAATGAGGGGAAGCCCCTGTCTCTGGGCTGGGAAGCACAGCGTAGTTGGTCAGAGCTTGTCCTAGCCATGCCTGGCAGCAGGTAGGGACCAAGGGATGCTGGGAAAACCTGGAGGCAGGTGCACTTCTGTATGGTCTGAAACCTAACTGTCCCCCTTGCGTCTGGCTCAGCCACACAGGTGAGTCTAGGGCTCACTAGTAAAGTAAGCACATGCTGGTGGACAAGTGTCTGACATCTGGAGCACTGAGCACCACCACAGAGAATGTTGCATTTCCTTGTCCATGTCCTCAGTCTTTGGCTTCCGTGGTCCAATTACACTTATCTCACAGTCACATCCAAAACTATTGCTCCATCCACTCAAGCTGGCTATAAAGTCCATGGTCCCAGCTCCCAGTCATCTGTACCCAGAGCTATGAGAACTCAAACCTGGCTCACCTTGTGATTCCATCATGGGGAGGGACTCATGGAGAGAATCCCAATGACATTTCCTTTCTCTCCCAGGCTCTCAAGATGAATTCTGCTAATGAACAGCAAGCTCTGTTGCCTAAGACTTTTCTCTCTTTTCCATTGCAGTTCAGAAAGGCAGAAGTCTACATCCTGTTATCCTCCCTCACAATTTATGTGAGAAATTTCTAAAATCTGCAAGGAAGAACACTAAGAAGAAAATTGAGACCTGTGGTGTTTTGTGCGGATCCATGGTAAAAATATGAAAGGTCCTTCCTGATCTGAGGTTGTTTCTTCCCCTTGTCTTCCCATGACTGTCAGAGAACATATTCAGGGAATGTGTCCGTAGACTTCAGCAGAGAGTAGGAACTGTGGGTGACAAGGCCTGGAAACTTTGAATTTGATGACTTTTATTTGGTTGCTTTTCAGAATCCCTTGAACCATTTGCTTCAATGTTATAGTTAGAAATTTTCATTGTAGTGGTAGCTAATGCTGCTAATTCCTGTTACTGCCAAATTGAGGCTGGAGGCTTTCTACAGGTTCAAACCAGCTTCATAGGGAGAATGAGACATTGTCTTGAAGGCAAAGAAAGCAGGCCAGCAGGCAGACAGGGAGATAGGCAGGAATGAGGCATATAGACATGCATGTTGACTAACTGTAAAAGGAAAAGGAGGACTCAATTACTTTTGGTACCTGGTCTGAGCACTTACTCTGGTAAGCCTTGGAATGTTAATTATAAACACCTCAGCTTCCTGAGCAGACATGCTGGCTGCTGCAGGGACGTGTCTAGGCCTAAGATGTGCCAAGAGAAACATCTCAGGATCATCTCAGCATCTGTTCCTTTATACAGAATCTACAAGAGCTCCCAAGGTTATGAAACACTGAGGGGAGAGAGAACAGTAAGGGTCATTCACTTGGCTGGGGATTCAGTTTTTTGTTATGAACGAGTGGGACTGAGACATCTGAAGAATATTAATAAGTTATTTTCTCTTGGCAGGTAGGAGAGGAGTACCATATCACGCACATAGTCATACCACTCCAGGAAGGAGGCCCTGATTATTGCTACGCCACCAATGAAGAGGAACTGTTTTTTATCCAAGAAGAACTGGGGCTTCTCACCTTAGGGTGGATTCATGTAAGCAAATAACCTTCCTGATAGCAGGGTTCTCTTTTTTCTCTCTTAAAATCATCCTACCTAAATCTTTCTCTGCATAGAGTCTATCCACTCCATTTCATTCTTCTGTTTAAACATGCAGTCAATAGTGTTCAGAGTGAGTCACAAGACCATTTCCTATTTATTGCTTTTACAGTTTTTTTTTAAATTTTACCTTTTAATCAAAGCAATTCTGCAAAGTCCCTATGCCTTGAGAGTCTGGGTCAAGAACAGCACCTTGCCTAGGACGTAAGGGAACACGGTATAGGGATCATGTCCCCCAAAATATTATAAATTACACTATTTTAAATAATACAAGAGACTTACTTATAACAATTGTATTTTGTATTTATGAAGAAGTACTTTCTTTTTGCACACCCAAAGAGATCCTACCTCTGAGGTTTTCAAGTGTTTGCACATGCTGAACATACTTCTGTTGATTTTCAAATAAACACAGCAACTTGCCTAGAGATTTCTTCAGAATGATTCTCTCATTATCAAGTACTGAAGCTCAGAGAACAAGAAGCTTTTCTTGGAATATTGAAAGGTGTAAGCCACAATCACATGGTTTATTTCTAGGTTTTAAGATATCACATATACTTACACTCAGAACATGAGAAGTTGAGATTTCTGAAGCAGTCTCCTGTGACTTCATGATTTTCAGTTCAATACAATTTATTACTGTTTTGCCTAAATCAATAACATAATATGTAATAATCAAAATTTGGCCCTTTGTGTCTAGTAACACAAATGGTTGATCACACATAACCTTGTACCAATTCAGATGAGGCATTTTGGACTACATTTTTCAGAATGTAAATCTGGGTCCCTATGAGTTTCAGAGAAGAGGGGACACAGTTGAAGTGACTTATGATGACTTGTAAACATTGGCCAGAAAGGGTTCATGGGAGAGGGGTCAACATTGGATACCTACACTGTGCTCCTGCATCAGTGAGCAGTTCTGTCAGTTGGGATTGGTGTTTGGTATCAGAAAAGGATGACATATATCTGTTGATAGGACCTATCAAATGCATGGTCTCTGTTGACTCGTGTGGGCACAAAAAATAGTGGTGATTTTGAGTAGAAAGAGAACTGTTTGGGTTATTCTGGGTAAAACCATTTCTTGACTAAAGCCATAGTCCAGAAGTTAAAGTGAAGAAGATACAAGGCTGATTGAGATGTGAAGATCAGTTAAGGTTTGGGAGCTGCCAACATCCAATGAGTGGGTGGTAGCAGTCTGTTGAGGAAGAGTGAGATTTCAGAGATCCAAGTAACGAGGATGAGAGGCTGATGAGTCTGGGACAGAGCAGACTTTTAGCTGGGCTCATGGTGATGGCAGTGATCTTCTCATGAGAATGAGTAGGGCTTCTAGAGAAGGACAGAGATTGGAAGTGGAGTTAATTCTTACTGTGTGGAATTTAAGGTATATGTGAGATATCAAATCTATATGGCCATTGGAATGAAGTTTTGGGAAGCCAGGGGAAACCAGGAGAGGGACCTGGGAGGCTTCTGCATGGAGTTGGCCTAGGAAATGTAGTAAAAGGGGAGAGCTGGCTGCAAGAGAATCCATTCCCTGGCAGCTGATGTGGAGGTCTAATAAAGAGAACATGGAACACAGTGGGTGATGAAACAGCAACAATGCTGCAGGAGTACTGGTTAGGAGGTTCTCAGAAACCATACAGCAAGGAGAGTTGGAGAATTAATTCTGCATGTGACTAACAGACAGGCTCCAGCAGGCAGAGTATTCAAATCTCCTGCTGGGGTTCTGAGGATATTGGCTAAAGGATTTTAGGCCATGGTGGGTAGAGACTTCAAGGATTAGCAGATTCTTAGAAATCTGAGTACATTGGCACCCCATGGAATTTTACCACTCAAAAGGATGAGGCTACTGGATGGTGACTTCAGAACCAACCTGGTCTAAGAGTAAGACTGTGCCTCAAAACAAAAGTCATCTGATGACGTTTATGGCTATTTTTGGAATCTGTCATTAATGTCATACTAAGGCTTGGATCTGATTCCTAGATTCTAGGAAAAGGAAGAATTATGAGTCTGTTCTTGACGGAAATTGGTTAAGAGAGTACTGACACTTGAGGGAACTCTCAGATGGCATGAACATGGTTCTTTCTTGTTGATGTTGATTTTCTTGATTTTACTTTTTGTTTGAATTCTCTTTAGATTTTCAAATGAGTGATATTCAAAATATAGCTAACTTATGAGTGTACATACATGAATAGCACAGTTTAATAGCTCATTGAATAAATATGTATATGATGTACATATACAATGTAGAGAAGGAAACAGGAACCTACCAGGAGCCTGGTCCAAATTCCTTCCTTCCTTCCTCCATATTGTGTTTTGCTTAAACCATCTATTCCTGGTTTCATTAGTGATCACATCCTTCATGTGCCTCCGTCCATGCTAACAGTACTTGAAGTACTGTTAGATATGGCTAGATATGTAACATTACTTCTGCCTTTCTTAACTTAATACTGCAGGATTCATCACCACACTGGCATGCAGTTGTCTGATGTGTTTTTACACTGTTGATCCAATTAAAATGGGGAGGGAAGAAAAGGAAAGAGGGGTAAATCAAGTGACAATAGTATAGTATCATATCTGTAGTTCAGTCAGGTCTCCTCTTTACAGAGGGACTAATCACATGGATTTCAAAGGCAGGAGTGAAGGCAGATAACTGAGGAACCAGAGAAATTGTTGAACCAATATTTGTAGTGGCCACCCAAAAGGTTGATGAGGAAAGACTAATTCTGCTGTTTGCAGCAGGGAAGCAGATGTGGGTTAGAATCTGACTGTCAAAACTTGAAATGGTTATTGTTCAGATATTAGGTATAAATAAGCATGGATGAATAAAAGAGTCTTGTTCTCAGTGAGGGAGAAGCTAAAAGTGATAGAGAGAAACTTAGCTTCTTTTGGCTTTTATGTGTTAGAAGGACGAAGCAGATTGTCCCCTCTTCCTTCTCCACCTAGCAGTTGAGTGTTTCCCTTGAATGATTTGAGGAATCTTAGTAGGGACCAATTGTTGAAGTTGGTTGGGCTTGCCTTTCTTGGTGGATCAGACCTGACTGACTATGCTCACTTGCAATTCTTATCTTCTTTTGTTTTCATAGACCCATCCAACCCAGAGAGCATTCTTATCAAGTGTGGACCTACACACCCACTTTTGCTACCAGCAGATGCTGCCTGAGTCCATCGCAATTGTGTGTGCCCCCAAATACAAAGAGTGAGTGTGTAAGATTCAGATCTGGAAGGTACAAGAGCAAAATGCTTTCATGGCTGAAAATTATTTAAAATATATCTATAGAGTGTCTTAACTGATTGCTATTAAAGCATTCAGTTAAGAGCAACCTTGTAACTAATACTAGGTGCTCTTAAAAAATATGTTGACATCACTGCTGATTTTCTAGGGCAAACTATCAGGAAGTAACCTCAAGAGACAGGAGGAAATTCTACACCAAACACTCTACATGAGTGTCATTGCTTTCATTCCTAATGACAAGTTATTGTGAATTCCTCAGCAGATATAGTATTGGAAAAGCAGTGAATTATTCTGCTTCCCGTAGTAAAAAATAAAATGCACCCTGTATGTTGTCCCACAGTGACAAGAAGACTTCGAATTTAGCATTTTGTCCATTGTTCCTCGCATTATTGATCTCAATAGACCTAATGCTTTATTTGGTTATTCTTCCTACTCATTTCTACTGTTAAATCCCTCTGCCCACTTTGGTTATGGTAAAATAAAGATATTCACAATGAGAGAGAGATAGATAGAGGGAGATGTAGACATACAAAGGCAAGAATAGAAGTATGAGAACTAGGAGGAGGAAGAAAAAGAAAAAAGAAAGAAAGGAAGGAAGGAAGAGGAAAGGAGAAAGGAAAAAAGAAAGAGGAAGAAGAGTGTAAAGATTAGGAATAGCACCAGGAGGACAATGTCTAGAAGAAGAATAAAGATGACAGTGATGGCTACGAATAGGAGTAGGAGGAGGGTCACAGGTTTTAAAAATGGGAAGAAGAGTTGTGTAGAGAAAAGAGATAGAAGGAGGGGTGAGGAGAGAGTGAAAGAGTAAAAGGGAGAGAGATCTGAGAGAGAGGAAACAGAAAAGAAAGAAGGAAGAAAAATGAGAGAAAGGTGGGCAGGAGAGAAGGAAGAGACCTAGGGGCATATCTGCTTGACTGAGTCTGCTTATTTATTTCAGGACTGGAATTTTCTCACTGACACCTACTGGGATAAATGAAATTTCCTGCTGCTCCATGAGGGGGTTCCATCCTCATAGAGACGACACTCCTCTCTTCTGTGTACGAATCTTTGTACAATAGATCAAGACCTTTGTCTCAGCCAGGACATAGAGCTTATAAGCTTTCTCATCTTTTCTGATCTAATTGGAAGTTCAGCATCATTGGTCACATTCCTAAAAATCCATAATAACTATGTAATTACAAAACATTGGGCAGTGTATATAAGTTTTCTCTCATTAACAACCTGGTCATTTATGGTCTTCGAGGGTATTGATCCTTTTATCTAGTATCTGTTGATTTTAATACAATGTACTTTCCAGGGCTGTTGAGAGAATAATAGAAGTAGGACTGGGGTGTACATCAGGGTCAGGCTCAGCATGCTGGAGAACTTGGATTCCATTTCCAGAATCATGCGGAAAAGAAGTAACAGACAGAGTATGGAATCCACTAACTTTTTAAAAGTTTATTACATGTTACCTTGTTCTTCACCAGTATCAGTTACTAAGTTTCACTTACATATCTGAATAAAGAAAAGGCCATGTAAGATAGGTAAATTAAGTATCTTTCATCCTGCAATTCTGCCTAGGTATTAGGGTTCTCACCTGCCTAGGGTGGTGGTTTCTTCTCCCAGGTTGTGTTTAGTGATATCACACTTAGTATGATCAGATTGATCTCTATGTCAGATCAGCTTCAAGACAATGAGATTCTGGCACTTTGTATCAGCCTGGACCCTTCCACAGAGTTTACAATAAGAGGAAATGCAGCAACATAGTGAAAGGACCAGAACCTGCCCCATAAAGTATATAGGATCCAGAGCTGAAGCCACAGAGATCCAATGAACTGTAAAATCCTGGGGTCAGATTGATTAATCCTTGTGAATTTTACATATGTATATGTACATATGTATACATATATATATATATATATATATATATATATACACACACATATGTTTTACATATGTATACCCTCAAGAACTATTCATATAGTTATCATCACAGCTCCAAGATTACTTGTTCCATTTAATAAATAGATATTTCATAAGTGTCTCTGGAAAACATATCCAAAGATATAAGGGTAGACACTGACTCTGTCTATGAGGAGTACTAGGTAGGAGTGCTGGGTCCCAGACCTTTGTTGATGTATATCACTGACCTCACAATCTCACATCTAAGCTAAGAACTACTTGCCTTCAGATAGCTTCTTACATTAGAGGCTTATGTCTGGGGACATGGCTCAATTGGGGAAGAGCTGGTGTTTCAAGCACAAGGTCCTGGACTCAACTTGTAGCACTCCTGAAATATGCCATGAAGGCACAACACTGGGAGCTAATGGCAGGAGGATAAGTTCAAGATCCTCCAGGACTATGTAGGTTAGATTGTCTAGACTGGGTCACAAGAGCCATTCTTTTGGTATAAAATTAGAAGTATAAGTTGTTTCAAAACAGGACTTTGAAAGTTTTGACCCTATTTACTTTTCTTCATTTGCAGGACTGTGGCCATGTCACAACCCGGAACACCAAAGTGATGATCACTGATTTACGATGAGTATAATTCCACTAACCAACATCTGAGGGAATCTGTGTGTGTGTCTGTGTGTGCATGTATTTTGTGTATGTGAGGGACACACACATATTTGTGCATAGAGTGCTGACATATCTGTGTGTATGTTCAATTTATGTCATGTATGTTTCTTATATGTCAGGTATGTTACATCTGTGTCATGTATGTTCACAATGTGTGTATGGATGAACACTGCTCATTCTTTGTTCTGTAGATTTAGTGTTTTGACTATTATATGACATGAGGAGCTTCTTTTCTGGTCTAGTTTGTTTGGTGTTCTGTAGGCCTATTGTGTGTTTATGGACATCTCTTTCTTAAGTTGGGAAATTTTTCTTCTATGATTCTCTTGAAAATATTTTCTGGACCTTGGAACCTGGAATCTTCTTTTTCATCTACTCCTATTTTTCTTAGATTTTGTCTTTTCATGGCATCCTTGATTTCTTGAATGTTTTGTGTTTGGAACTTGTCCAATTTTACTTTTTCTTTGAGAGAAGTATCAATTTCTGCGAGTGCACCTAAGATTCTCTCTTCCAACACTTGTATTCTGTTGGTGATGCTCACCTTTGTGGTTCCTGATCTTTTCTCTGAGTTCTCCAGCTCCAGGGTTTTCTCAGTTTATGCTTTCTTTATTGATTCTAATTCTGTTTTCATGTCTTCACTATTTCCTTCATCTGTTTGAATGCAGATCTTTGTCTTTCCATGATGGCCTCTATTTTTCTTTGTTGTTGTTCGTTTCTTCTCTATATGTCACTACTTGTGCCTCTATTTGTTTGGCTGTATTTGCCTGTATTTATTTCAGAGCTTTGTTCATTTCCTCTCTATATGACTCTAGTTGTGCCTCTACTTGTTTGGATGTGTTTGCCTGTATTTCTTTGAGAGCTCCATTCTTTTCTTCTTTATATGCCTCTAATAACTGGATAAGGGTAAATTTGAGATCATTTTCCTGTATTTCTGATGAATTATCAAATCCTTTGACTTTGGGGTTGCTGTTGAAGCCGTGATGTCATGATATTTGTTGGATGTGTTCTCATACTGGCCTCTAGCCATCTGCTTATCTGGCACCTTCCCTGTTTGTTCCTGGGGTCTGCACTTCAGGCTGGGTTCATACGTTCCTGATGTCTGGAACATTACTCAGGAAGATGAGAGGTTCACCTTTTGACAGTGGATGGCGATGTTTGAGCTACATCTAAGGGAAGACGGTTGCAGGTGCAGGGGTGAGAGTGCAGGGATGTGCATGGAAATGTGCCCTGAAGAACGGGGTTTTAGGGTGGGTAGATGCCTGGAAGGGTGGAGCTTTAGTGCAGGAGGGGGCACATGTGCTGGCACTGCTCACAGGCTCAACACACATGGGCAGGTATTCTGAATACCTCAATGACCTACAGGTCTGTCTTACTGTCCTCCTGGTATTCAGATCTGTCTGGGCTCAAGGAATTGTTTTCCTGGACTCCACTGATAGACCCACAGTACAGAGGCTTCAATGGTGAGAATGCTGTCCCAAGGATCCCTCCGTTGCCCACAGTGTGGGTGTGGGTGGGAGGGATCCCAGGTCCGGCTTTTAGCGTATAGGGACATTGGATCTAGGGCTCTGTGTTCACTCACTTAAAGGCACACTCACTCTCTTAAAGGCATAATTGGACAGCACAGTCGTTCCCCCATTCTCTACTCTCATATTTAGGCTTTTATGGGCATATGAGATTATAGGAGATCTGTCAGTTCAGTGGTGTCCACTGTTTGGCCTCCAGGCAGGGAGATCCATAATTAGTATAGCCACCTCTGTGTTATCAGCCAACTAGCATGGGGGCACCTGCTTGGGCACCCACTGCTACCTCTGCCAAACAGGGAGGCCTGTGCTTGGGGTAAGGGGAAGTGCAGGGAGGTTGAATATTCACCACTCTCAATCCCCTGAGACATCCATGTGTGACTGGATCCAAACTGTCCCAGCTCAAGTGTTGTCCCTCTTCTCCCTGGAAGCCTCAATGTTGATGTTCTGACTTCAGTTGCTCCTCCACTCAGCAATTTCTGTTTTGGGGATCCTGTGATGGCAGGTGGCTATATGTGCCACCAGGTTCTGCAGTCAGTTGTACAGTCTATACAGAGTCCCCTTGTGGAAGACTGTAACAGCCTCTCAATTCTGCTGCAAGGCAGGCCGTTGTGCAGGACTCCCAGTGGACACTGTAAGGGCCTACCTGGTCTTCAGCAGAGATGGGAGTGTGGCAGATAGCCCTCCAGGGACCTCCATGCTCTGTGCCTGAGACAACAGAAGTGGATGCAACAAGTAAGGGCCTCCTTTACCAGTGGACAAACAGTGGACACCACTGAGCTAAAAGAAATCCTACACTCTCATTTTCCCTAACAGGCCCAAATCTGAGAGTAAAGAACAGGGGGAAGACCTGTGCTTTCCAATTAGACCTCTGAGTGAGTGAATACACCTTCAAGTGAGTGCATGCAGAGCCCCAAATCCAGCGACCCTTTATGCTATCTGCCAGACATTGAATCTATCTTACCCTCACCACCACTTTTGGCAAGAGAGGGATTCTTGGGGCAGCATTCTCACCATTGGAGCCCCTGTTTGGGAGTCTATCAGTGGAGTCCAGACAAAGAATTCCTGGAGCCCAGACAGATCTGAATACCAGGAGGACAGTAAGACAGGCCTGTAGGCCACTGAGATATTCGGGGCACCTGTCCAAGTGCATTGCACCTGTGAACAGCGCCCAGACCTGCACCCCCTCCTGCACTTAAGCCCTGCATTCTAGGCATCTACATGCTTTAGCACCCTGTATTTCAAGGCACACTTCCAAGCACACAGCCTCTCTTCCTCCCCATCACTTTTGTACTCACGCCTGTGTCCTTCCTTTCTCAGCTACAGCAGCAAAACCCAACATCCCCTCTCATACTAGTAAACTGCTCTCAGCTTCCTGAGGAATACTCCAGACACCAACACAAAGACTGACCCTGTCTGAAGTACAGACTCCAGGAACAAACAGCAAAGGTTACAGATAAGAAGATGGCTAGAGGTTGGCATAAGAAAACATTCAACAAACCCCAAATCAATGGACATGCTAATTCTGTATAAAACACAGTAAAATGTTCTCAATTCTAGGCTTATCCAGATATTAGAGCCACATAAAAAAGAAATGAGCAAAGCTCTCAAATACAAGCAAATACAACCAAACAAATAGAGGCACAAGTAGAGGCATATAGAGAGGAAATGAACAACAACAAAAAAATAGTCCATCGTGGAAAGAGAGGAATCCACATTCAAACAGATGAAGGAAATGGTGAAGACATGGAAACAGAATTAGAATCAATAAAGAAAGCATAAACTGAGAAAACCCTGGAGCTGGAGAACTCAGAGAAAAGATCAGGAACCACAAAGGTGAGCATCACCAAAAGAATACAAGGGGTGGAAGACAGAATCTCGGGTGCTGAAGATACATTCACAGAAATTGATACTTCTCTCAAAGAAAAAGTAAAATTGGAAAAGTTCCAAACACAAAATATCCAAGAAATCAAGGATGCCATGAAAAGACAAAATCTAAGAAAAATAGGAATGGATAAAAAAGAAGATTCCAGGCTCCAAGGTCCAGAAAATATTTTCAAGAAAATCATAGAAGAAAATTTTCCCAACTTAAGAAAGAGATCTAAACTTAAACTATATGTAGACAGTAAACCATCCCTACAGAAGCTACTAGAAGGAAAAATGCAATCCAACAAAAACAACTATACAGAAGGAAACACAGGGTATAGATAACTTCACAACAAAACATTAAAAGAAAAGAAGCCTTGAAACAGAGTAACACCACCAGCTTCCACAATAAAAGGAACTAACATTCATTGGTCACTATTATCTATCGACAAGGGACTCAACTCTCCAATAAGAAGACACAGACTAACAGAATAGTTGCAGAAACAGGATCCAACCTTCTGCTGCATCCAAGAAACACACCTCTGCAACAAAGATAAACACTACCTCAGAGTAAAGGGCTGGAAAATACTTTTCAAGCAAATGGACCTAGAAAATAAGCTGGAGTAGCTATCCTAATATGTAATAAAATAGACTTTCAATCAAAATTAATCAAAGAAGATAAGGAGAGGCACTTCCTTCTTATCAAAGGAAAAATCCACCAGGAGGACATCATGATTCTGAACATCTATGCCCCAAATACAAGACTACCTACATTAGTAAATGAAACAGAATTAAAGTTTAAATCACACATCAATCCCAACAACTTAATATTGAGAGACTTCAACAGTGTACTCTCACTAAGGGACAGATCATCTAGGCAGAAGCTAACTGGGGCATAATGATACTTGCAGAAATCCTAAATCAAATGGACCTAATAGATGTCTACAGAACTTTTCACCCAAACTCAAAAGAGTCTACCTTTTTTCAGCACCTCATGGAAACTTTTCAAAATTTGACCATATAGTCTGGCACAAGCCGAAGTATCAACAGATACAAGAAGATCAAAATAATCCCTTGTATCCTATCAGATCACCATGGCCTAAAACTAGACCTCAACAACAACAGAAATAACAAAAAGCCTACATTCATATGGAAAGTAAACAACTCTCTATTCAATGACAGCTTGGTCAGGGATAAAATGAAAAAATAAATTAGAGACTTCCTAAAATTCAATGAAATGAAGGCACAACTTACCCAAACTTATGGGATACAAAGAAAGCAGTGCTAAAAAGAAAATTCATAAGACTAAGTGTCTCCAGAAAGAAGTTTGAGACATCTCATACAAGCAATTTAATGACACAACTAAAAGCTCCCCACCCATAAAAAAAGAAGTAGACACACTCAAGTGCAGTAGATGACTGGAAAAGATCAAACTCAGAGTCAAAAATCAATGAATTAGAAACAAAGAATCAGTGAGATCAAGAATTGGTTTTTTGAGAAAATCAACAAGATACACAAACCCTTATCCAAACCAACTAAAAGGCAGAGAGAAAGTATCCAAATCAGCAAAATCATAAAT